AGGAGCAAGAGAAGGTGGGGGAGAAAATAAAGGAGAAGGTGAGGGAGTTTAGGAGAGCAGTGAATCGCTGAACCGAACGCGTGCCTCTGATACGAAATCCTGCCAATTCTTCTGATCTCGTCGTCTGAATCATGGTCATAGCTACAATTGCTAATCCATGGCTTCAGATGGTCGATGTGATAAGTAGTATAAGTTGGCGAGTTCTGAACCAGGAGACCTGTAATCGACATATACCGACACTCCAGAGCCTTCGGAGGTGGGTGTCCGTGCTAAGTTGCCGTCGTAAACTACGATTTCCGGAAGTGACGTCACCGAAACCCTCGATTCCAAGACTTTTCACTGGATTCCGGGAATTTTGCGTCACATTCCGGGAATTTTGCGCTCGATTCCGGGAATTACGCACGATCGAGAACCTTCTAGAACATTTTAGAACCTTCTAGAACATTCTGGAAGCTTCGACGGTTCGTGTCCATGCTAAGTTGGGAAGGTTCGCTCCCAGAACCGGCGGTCCTCTCGCGCGACGTTTTGAGACAGCCTCTTGCTCCCCACCCCGGAAAGCCATCCAGAAACCATCCAGAAAGCCATCCTGCACGTTCGTGCAGGTTTCGGACGTCAGCCCTCAGCCCGTTTGACCTCGAACGTTATCTCGCAGAATTGCGCAGCATCCCTCATGCAGTCCTCCAGGAATTTTCCAGAACTTTTGTCCCTAACTTCATCGCGCATGCTAGTGCGTAGCACCGGTGAATCACAGAGAGAGAGAGAGAGAGGGGGAGAGAGAGAGAGAGAGAGAGAGAGAGAGAGAGAGGGAAAGAGACGGAAGGGACCCCCAGGAAGGAATCCGTGTGTACCGGAAGTTCTGGTAAGTCCCATCCGATTACCATTTTTCGAGCGAAACCGCGCGCCGGCCGGGGTGCAGCGCATCCGCCGGTGCAGCGAGGCACGCGGAATGGGGGCTACGGGCCCACCACCGATTCACACGCGCGAAGATTGTAGCCGCCCGGGAAAGGAGAAGACGACTGCTGCGACCGCGTCCTTTGATAGGATTGTATCGAGTCGCGTTCGTAAGACCACCCGACTGTACTCGTTTACCCAGAACGAAATAAATGCAGATTGTTGGAATGAAATCCCACCGTGTCGATTATTTCGGAAAGGCCGACCGATTCCTGTGTAAATTCGCCGCCCTCACGTTCCCCTCTACCAACGCGAAGGAGAGCTAGCGGGAAGATCCGGTCGAGAGGACTCCCGGAAGTGACGCGCCGCGGACTAAAAATTAAAGGGCCGACGAGTCGAGCTGGTGCAAGGATGCACCTGGCGCCCAAGGGATCCGCGGAATGCCACGTTGGGGTCGCGGATAGAACGTAGGTCAGGAAATGCGTTACAAAATGGCGCCCAACGTGGGGCCCACGCGAGGATGATATACTGGTCGGCCACCTTTGAACGGATTTTTCTATTGTTAACACGCTAGAGGTCATGGTGGGCTAGGTAAACGAGTCGGGTGCGCGGTAAGCCGGCTGTTGCTAAGCGATAGGAGTGTGAGACAACAAATAGCCGGCTAGCCGAAACAACGGGTGAGGTCACGGAGTAGAAACGAAATGACAACAGCTGATCGTTGTTGATTATAGGTCGGAAAGTGACAGGTCAATAATCTGACAGCTTCGGGAACAATAGTCGAAGCTCGCCGGGGATTTAAGAGAGAATTTCGATTTTTCGTGTCATTGAACCGCCGCGGAGGATGATGCCGGATTTCGCGAACGAGTCGGCCCTAATTTCGTGGGCAGCCGCTCTAGAGGAACCGGACATTCGCCGAGAATTACGGGCGGTCAACGTCAACGCGGAAGGAGTGAGCCCACCGCCCGATTGCGTTTGTTGCGGTACGCGATGCGTAGCCGTTTCGGGATCCAGGATCTGTGGGGCCCTGACGATGAGGTGCGGGGCGGAGCAGAGGATCCCGCCGACGGAGAGCCGGCTGCCGCAGGACTCCCTGAGGTGAGGCAGTCGTTAGACGAGCCTACCAGGGAGGAGGCGAGGGAAGTGAGACGGTCTCCGTCGAAAACGCCATCCGAGCGGGGGGCGTGGGACGAACCCTCGTCACGTAGAGTTTACGTGCTCCCTGAAGGGCCTCTCGCGACGCGGGCCACGGGCCCCGGAGGAAGATATGTACTGTTGGACCTCTCGGAAGAGGCGGCACCTCCGATAAACGAGGGGATGATGCGGTCGGATCCGGCGATCATCCGGTGGGGTAGCGGCCGGATTCAGGTCGAGACGCAACCGCGTAGACGATCTGAGGAAGAGCGACTACACTCGGAAGAGAGCCGCAAGATCGGTCGATCGACGACGGCAACCGAGAGGGCTAGGAGAGCCTACCTCGAGGCGGGCCGACGCGAGGACGTCGGACCGCGATGTCCCGACGATAGGGAGGACCCTGAGTCGGCGGCTGAGGAGGGGCGGCTGGCAAGAGGCCAGACGTGCCTGAGATCTCGGCGGAGAGAGACTATCTTCCGCCGAGAGGAGGAGGACGAGTCGGACTCTGGCGAGGATGCTGGAGACCGCCGCCACCGAAGGGAGTTGCGTTGGAGCGCAGCTGCTCCGGCGAGGAGGGGGGAGGGTTCGAGAGTCGCTATCCCCCTGGAGCATTGCAGAGGCAGCGGGAGGAGGGTTGCAGGGCCCGGAGAAGAGGGACCGCACTCCTCCACCTTATAGAGATCGGCGGTAGCCGTACCTCAGCTGGGACGGCGGAGTGAGACGTTCCGGATAGGTAGTCGCCAGGGCCACGAAGGGGTGAGGGATTACTATCCGGAGAACATCGTTCCTGGACAGCCACAGGTCTCCGAGCGAGATTGTACAGAAGTGGGGGCTGCATTTCAAGGATAACAAGTACCACTACGCAGAAGAATTCCTGGTCCGATTGGAGGAGAAGCGCCAGGTATCGTCCCTGACGGATATGGAGATCCTGGACGCACTGCCGGAGTTGTTGAGCGTAAGAGCCAGAGATTGGTACCGGCTCTCCCATCGGAAATGGCAGGCGTGGGAAGACTTCACGGAAGGCTTCCGTGAAAGATTCAACGGGCCAAACTACCAGCGGATGCTGAAGGAAGAGGTGACATACGGAATCCAGCAGACCGGGGAGTCGATGGCAGATTTCGTGGACGCCATGAGAAGCCTGATGACGCACATAGTGCCACCGTGGTCGCAGTCGCAGCAACTGGACGCGGTGATAGGCAACATCCACCCTCGGTACCTCAGTCAGATACGAGTGAGCCAAATAAGAGCGTTCAAGAAGCTAGTGGCACTCGGGACTGACTTGGAGACTGGCTGGGCTCTATCCCGGAAGCATCGGGAATTAGCCTTCCGAGAAGACCGCCATGGTAGATGGTCGGAGAAGGATCGGGAGAGGCCCCGAAGACGGGAACGGAGCAGCTCGTCAGAGGAGTGGTCGGAGGGATCGCCTGACCGAGATCGCCGAATGCCGCCGGCACGTGAAGGAAGGTCGGCTAAGCGACGGGAGCGATCCCCGTCTCCTATAGGACGAAAAGGAGAGCGAAGGCCGTACCGGGAGGAATACCCTCGTATCGAGGAGGGACGGAAGGGCCTCGCAAGAAGAGAAGTGGACCAGCCGTGGACCGCGAAGACGATAGGAATACGGCCTACCCGACCGGAAAGGATTCCCGGAAGGAACACATTGAAAACAATTACCTTCAATGATTATATTCAATGTCTTTTGCATCATCAAAATTTAATGAAATGTCAAAATTTAATTCAAAGTAAAAAACATAAAGTTCATACCGTACAACAGAGAAAAATAGCACTGAGCTGGAATGACGACAAGAGGGTCATTCTTTCTGGTACGACCGACACCCTACCGTGGGGTTATAGAATGTAAGATGTATATAATGTAATTGTATAAGATGTAATGTACAAATAAAGACAACGTATGCTTTACGTTATTGCATATCACTTGATCCTTCAATGCAACGCCAGCTCCTAACCATCTGGATTGTTCCTTCTATGCGTTATCTTAATAAATAATTCTCAGAAGTCGCTCGCACTCTTTGTCACATAGAGAGGTAGAGGTAGGGAGCACGCTTTAAAAATGACGCTTGCACCCGCTACGACTCAGTTCAAAAAGGGCTTATAGAATGTAAGATGTATATAATGTAATTGTATAAGATGTAATGTACAAATAAAGACAACGTATGCTTTACGTTATTGCATATCACTTGATCCTTCAATGCAACGTCAGCTCTTAACCATCTGGATTGTTCCTTCTATGCGTTATCTTAATAAATAATTCTCAGAAGTCGCTCGCACTCTTTGTCACATAGAGAGGTAGAGGTAGGGAGCACGCTTTAAAAATGACGCTTGCACCCGCTACGACTCAGTTCAAAAATGGCTGAGGAAAGTTATTACGTTGAACTATTTCCATACGTTTACGTTCCCGTCGAATGGTTAGAAAATGGATTGGAACAAAGTACTCGTATCGCGATCGAAAATGCGTTACGAATGAGCAGTGCACTAAACCAGGTGTTGTGTGTAATTGATATTAATGGTGTTACAGCCATCAAAGAAGTATATAACAATCAAACTTGGTTTAGAAGAGTATAAGGTAAGCATTGAAGAATTATCATAAGTATTTTTCACTCTTTTATTTTCTCACTAATTTTAATTTGATTATAACAAAAATTTTTTTGGTTTTACAGTAATGTGAACAACAGTAGAACTAGTAGCAATAGTAGCAGTAGTAGCAGTAGCAGCAGCAGCAGCAGCAGCATTAGTATCAGTAGTAGCAGTAGATGTATTAAAATGAAAAAAAATATAATAGTTTTTTTAAACAATTTGACTATAGCAGCAGCAGCAGCAGCAGAATTAGTGTCAGTAGTAGCAGTAGATGTACTAAAATGAAAAAAAATAGAATAGTTTTTTTAAACATTATCTTCTATTGAAGTTATTCTTCTATGAAAAAAAGTTATCCATTTCCATACCTTGTCCCATCTCGATGAAGTCTACAAATCCGACTTATCGATCCAACTATTGTGCGAACCATCGAAGCCTAACCATTTCACAAATAGCTTGTTTCCACGTTTCCTCAGTATCTTCTCCACAAGATATATGTCGGGATACTTGACGCTGGTAAGTTCATGCTCGTAGAAGCCGCCTTCGATGGGATGATCCTGGTAGTCCTAGAGATTGTACGTCACCGGATCGCTATTCTTCACTCGACTTACGGTGAAAATTTCGGTTGTCCAATTGGGTGTGTAGCCCTTCTCGAAGATGTGTTTAAATTTGCTGATTCGTACTCTGTCGCCGACTTTAAACTTTGGTCGTTTAAGTGTGGTCTTGACTTTGAATTTCTTGTACACCCGTTGTAGTAGATCCTTCTCGTTACGAGCAGTCACATCCGTCGGTTTCATACCAATGGTGCGATGCTTACTGCTATTGTAAGAGGATAACAGGTCCGATAAGATATCCAGCCACCGGTGATTGCCCTGCAGGCTAAACTGCATCCACATCTTACTTTTCAGCGTACGATTAAAGCGCTCGCAGATCGATGCCTTCAAGTTACTGAACGTCGAGTACAGGGTAATACCGTGCTTTTACATAAGATCCTAGAATTCGGAATTGTAAAACTCTCGGCCTTGGTCAACATGCAATTTCTTC